AAAAAAAAAAAAAAAGGATGAACCCATTTATACCCTACTGACAAAAGGACAATGTTTACTCTTACCAGCATTATCTATTTTATTCTTTGCTTTTTTTGTGTCAGAAGAAAGTGGCATCTCATTATTTCAATTTGCATTTCTTTGATTACCAGTAATGCTAAACTTCACTTGAAGTATGCACTAGTCATTTTTATTTCGTTATTCTTAATTGTCCATCATCTTAGGATAGATAAAACTCTTAGCATGGGTAGAGGAGATAAAAATGATCACAAAGGCTCTCTACCAAGAGAGCATCTCAGGAAGATTAAAGAAGTGGGAGTCTTCATGCCTCCTAAAAGGCAATCATCACCTGGGGAAAAGGCTACTGCTGAAGCAGCAGTGAGTGCTGAGTCATGATGCAGGGGCAGACTGGACTAAAGGTAGCAGAATCACAACACCCTCACATCTCTTGGAGTTTCACAGCTCCTTTCGCTAGCAAAGCAGTCATCATGCCCTGCTGCATCATGCAGTAGGCATGGAATAGCTCGTGAGCTACAGAGAGGGCATACCTAGTGCTCAGAGCTGAGCAGTCAGGCAAATGATGAGATTAAAGTAAAGGCGGCAGCCAAGCGGCAAAGACACGGCCTAGTGATGGAGAATGGCTGAAAGTGATGTCATTTGCCTTAAGCAGCCCCCAAAGGGACTTAGCAAGCTTCAGGGGAAGAGGGTACAGGCAGATTCAAGGATGGGAAACAAGGTCAAGGACAAGAGAAACAGCTAGAAAGATAAGAAAACACAGGAGAGAAATTGAACAGCCAGAGGAATGAGGAGCTGTGATTTCCAGGATTTTTGGTGAAAGGTAAAATCATTACTTTGAAACACTGTCAATCCAAAGGATATTGTTGGGCACTCAGAAACTGTATCTCCTAGCCACCTATTTTCTCTAAAGCCACAAGACTGAGAGGGTCTCAATTCCTTCTCCTAACATCGCCTTCCTTCCTAGGCCTATGTTGTCTTGGAGTCTTGTAGAACAGTGATTTTAAAGTGTTTTCCTCTCATATCTCCTATAATACCTTTTTTCTCCTTTTTTGTTTTGTTTTTTTTGAGACAGAGTCTCATTCTGTCACCCTGCAGTTGATTGCCGTTGCATTCTTGGGCTCGTGATCCTCTTGCCTCAGCCTCCCAAGTAGCTGAGACTACAGGTGTCCACCACAACACCTGGCTAATTTTTGCATTTTTTTTGAGACAGAGTCTCACTATGTCGCCCTTGGTGGAATGCCGTGGCATCACAGCTCATAGCAACCTCAAACTCTTGGGCTTAAGCAAGTCTCTTGCCTCAGCCTCCCAAGTAGATGGGACTACAGGCACCCACAACAATGCCCGGCTACTTTTTGTTGCACTTGTCATTGTTTAGCAGGCCCAGGCTGGGTTTGAACCTGCCAGTCTCAGTGTATTTGGCAAATACCCTACCCACTGAACTACAAGTGCCTCCAATTTTTGCATGTTTTAAATAGAGATGGGGTCTAACTCTTGCTCAGGCTGGTCTCAAATTCCTGAGCTCAAGAAATCTACTGGCCTTGCCCTCCAAGAATGTTACGATAGGCTCTTAAAATAACTCTGATAGACTGAGTATTCTTAAGTTTACATTGGTGCAAAGGCCGTAATTTCTAGCATATTTTAAAGAGTATTTGAGTATTCTTTTTTTCTGAGATAGAGTCTCACTATGTCGCTCTGGCTAGAGTGCCATGGCATCACAGCTCACAGTGATCTCTAATTCTTGGGCTTAAGCTATTCTCTTACCTCAACCTCCTAAGTAGCTGGGACTACAGGCACCTGCCATAACGCCCTGCTATTTTTTGTTGTAGTTGTCTTTGTTGTTTAGCAAGTCTGGGCTGGATTCGAACCTGCCAATCCTGGTGTATGTGGTCAGTGCCATAACCACTGCTACGGGCACCAAGCCTGAGTATTTTTTTTTAGTATTTTTTTAAGAGACAGAGTCTCACTTTGTCACCCTCCATAGAGTGCCATGGCATTCCAGCTCAAAGCAACCTCAAACTCTTGGGCTTAAGCAATTATCTTGCATCAGCCTCCCAAGTAGCTGGGACTACAGGTGCCTGCCACAACGTCTGGCTATTTTTTAGAGACAGTGTCTTGCTCTTGCTTAGGCTAGTCTTGAACTTGTGAGCTCAGGCAATCTACCCACCTTGGTCTCCCAATGCTAGGTTTACAGGCTTGAGCCACTACACCTGGCAAGAGTGACAATTTGAAATAAAATTGTTAAGTCACTCTTAATTATATCCAGTGGCATTAACTACTACATACACTAAATGATGTGATACCTATTTAATACCTTTTAAAAATACAAGAAAAAACTCTTCTATAATAGTCAAAAATTTTATACCACTCTTCTTAATCCTTAATCCTATATTTCTTATTCCTCTCCAAATTTCTTCCTAATGTATTTTTACTTTTTTTTTTTTTTTTT